TTATTATTACTTTATACATTTTCTTGATAATATCCTTAAAAATACATCATTTCACTGTTCATCAAATTTATCATTTTGCTTCTTTATATTCCTCTGTAACTCTCTTCTAGTGAATTTATCACTAATGGTTAAGGTGCAATTAGTTGTTGAGTGATGAATGGAAAGGTGCTTATGGACAGATGTTCTGTCAGTTGCAGAATGTTTAGTGATTATTGTATTTTGTATCTTCAAGTATATCATGTTAGGCAAGTTGTTTAGGGAAAGTTGTTCCCATATTAGTTCTAATAGAGTTTATTGTGTTTTGTACACTCATTTGATGAATTAAAATCAAACCCAAACCCAACAACTTATATGTGTCTTTTGAAGAATGATATTTCATTCTCAAAATCGATGTACAATCCATAGATAGACAATTGACAGACTGCAAACACCAAAGCAGAGTTATGAGGCTTCCTTTCATTTAACTTAAACTTCAGATGCCAAAAATTTGGTCTGAAAATTATAAGAATTATATCATAAGGAATGACACAGTTCATATTTAATTTTTGTTAATATAAAACTAGAAGATTCTGATACCCCAGTGGCATTCAGCAAATGATGATCTAAACTGCAATGGCAGCTGGAACTCCATCAACAACAAGGTGGGAAGGGCCAGTCACCAGGAGCTCAGGACGTGAACCCAGAAAAAGAACTGTTGGCCTGTTTGGTTTGACCAGGAACAGAAGACAGAGCAGCAGGTTCCAGACAGACAGTGCAGGAACAGGGTGGATTTCACAGCCCAATGTGTCCATAGAACCAAATTGGGTGCCATTTTGTTTAAGGAGGCAAAGGCTATGGACAGTACTGTGCATGCACTGAGCTGGGAGTGAACTAATTTCTGGCTTAGTGAACTGCAACAGTGTGGTATTTTACAAGTTCTACCCAAGACAGGTCTGGGTAGTCCTTAGACCTAATGGACAGCAGACCAAGAACTCTAGTAGTGGCACATCATCAGGCACCATTTTGTACAGTGTGGCAAGGCTTTAAGACTGCAGGGACAACAGTGAGCTGTGCATAAGCTGTGTTTTGAGTGAACTCACTGAGCTCAGTGCAGTGCACTGATCTTACAGGGAAAATAATACTTACTTTGGCATCAAACAGGTCAAAATGTGTCCATGTGGCCCTCAGACCTAATGGCCAAACAGGTGCTGGAAGTATCAGTACCAGCAACAATCTAGGTATATAGGACATCTGTTGTCTCCCAAATCCTGGGAACTGCTTGAACCAGAAGTAGGAGAAGGGTTGTACAGACAACGGTGCAGCCTCAGCATAGTATCGCAGGAGATGGAGAGTGTTGAGCCAGGAATTGGTGCTATGGAAACCATGGTGGAAATCTAACATAAGTACCCAAACCTGAACTCACTGGATGGAGTGGCACAAGTGACTGCAAATAAAGAGCCATGTAACAATCACAATAAGTAAAACTGAATCGTAGACCTATGGGTATCACAACTGAGAAACCTGCCCCAAGGAGAAGAATCTGATAACCAGAAGTACAATGACCAAGAGAAAAAGAAGACAAAGGCACAGCAAATATTATGGAAGACTCCCCTGCAAAGGAGCAAAAGCCTTTCCCAACCTCAGAGTTAACTGAGGAATGCATCAGGAAAAGGGGGGACACAGAATTCAAAATACTTGTTATAAAGCTTCTTGTCAACAGTAAGAAGCACGTAAAGCAGGCATTCAGGGAATTCAAGGAATATGTCATACAGGAAATGAATCAAATGAAAGCCGATATATCAGATATGAAGAATACAGTAGAGCAAATTAAAAGTACAGTGAAAAGTCTCCAAATTAGAATGAAGCAAGCAGAAGAAAGAAATATCAGAAATGGAAGATATTTCTTGCCACCAGTGGGAAACAAAGAACAAGCCAGAAACAGAGCTGGGTCAAGTTAAAACAAGTGTTCAATAATTGAGACACTGTTAAAAGGCCAAGTATAAGAGTTATGTGAGTTGCAGAAGGTGCAGAAAGAGGATTTGGTATTAAAGGTGTATTCAATAAAATGCTAAGTGAAAATTTCCCTAATCTAGAGGAAATATAGAAAACAACATCCAGTAGGGGGGCCACAGGACTCTCAACAGGCCTGATCAAAAGAGATCTTCACCAAGACACATGATCATCAAGCTCTCTTCAATCAAACATTAGAAAAAATTCTTAAATGTGCACATGAAAAAAATCAACTGACATATGAAGGCATGCCAATTAAATTCACAGGAGACCTCTCACAAGAAACTGTACAGGCATGAAGAGAATGGAGCAACATATTCCAGATTATAAAAGCAAAAATTTTATCAGCCTAGGATAACATACCCAGTAAAGATTTTCTTTGTCTTTGAAAATGAAATAAAATTCTTCCACAGCAAGAAAATGTTAAAACAATATGCCTGTTCCAAACCTGCCCACAAATGATGCTTAAAGATGTTCTCTTGACAGAGAAGAGGAATAGTACCCACCGAAATCAAATGCAAATGTAAAGAACATCCCAGCAAAATAACAACAGAAGACTAAATCAATTAACAACTCATAGCTAAAAAGACAGGACCAAATTACTGCCCAGTCATATTAACCCCTGAATGTAAATGGCTTAAACTCATCAATGAAACATCATCATAATTAGACTGGATTAAAAAATCAAACCCATCTCTATGTTGCCTATAGAAGACATATCTCACCAGCAAAGATCAGCAAAAACAATATCCCAGTGATTTTGATTTTTTTTTTTTGGTTTTTATTCCATCTCTTTAAAATGCTTTCTTCCTTATTAAGTTTTTCACTGACTCATAGATCACATAGCAGCATCATTTTCTTCAAGAAGCTTCTTGATATTCTTTTTTATTTCTTCAGCAACACATTAGTCATTCAGTAGCATGTTATTTAACTTTATGGCATTATTAATTACTTTTTTCTTTCTGTGTGATTTTGTTTTGTGGCTTTTCATTTAAGGTGATCTACAGTAACTGTAATGGAGACTGTTATTTCTAGTGGCATGTTACTTAAATTCATGATGTTGTAAATTTCAATTTTTCTTCCTGCTGTTAATTTTGTGTTATGACTTTTCGTTTGAGGGGATACGCAGTAACTGTGTAATGGAGACTGTCATATCCAAATGTGAGGATACAATGCAGTATGAATCTCTACTTCCAGACCAAAGATGGACTCCCAATGGAATTGTTTACTATATCCTGATAATAGGATGCTGGACTCTGCCGTTGTCCATGCCCGCAATGATGGACATATGACTGTTTATGAAGAACTATAATACAGGGAACTCAGTGAGGGAAAGGAGGCTTGGGGAGGGTTTCAGGGAAATCCCAGGACCAATGGAACTGTATAATAAAATGATAATAATAATAATAATAAAAATAAAAGACAAAATACAAACTTCAGAAATATAAATTCTACTTAAGTAAACCTGGTTTTTGCTTTCTCTTGAGGCTATATCCTTCCTTATGGTTTTTTTTTTGAAAGACCTATGTATTTATTTATTTATTTGGAAGCCGGAGTTATAGAAAGACAGGGAGGGGGAGAGAGAAATTCAGAGAGAGAGACTATTCCATTTGCTGGTGTACTTCCTGGATAGCTGCAATGGTCAGGGCTGAGCCAGGCCAAAGCCAGGAACCAAGAGCTTCTCTGTATTTCCCATTGGGGTGTCATGGGTCCCAAGCATTTGGCCATCTTCCACTGCTTTCCCAGGCACATTAACAAGGAGCTGAATTGGAAGTGGAGTAGCTTGGACATCAACAGGAGACCATATGAACTGCTTGAATTGCACGTTTTGTTTTTTGGGTTGTTTTTGTTTGTTTGTTTTTTACCTTGCTATTCCACCCAAGCCATCACCCACATTGGTTAGGGCAAATTTTCTTTGTCTGCTCATTTGAATGTCAAACTCATAAGGAAACATCTTCACATAAATGCACAGAACTAATAATTTCTCAGCTCTCTGGGCATTTCTCAGCCGAATCAAGCTGATGCACCCCATGGAAAAATGAACAGGGTCTGCCTGGGGCTAGGACAGAGAGGATGTGTGGGCTTTGTGAATAACCCAAATCCCACCCGAGGCCCATGTGTTTCTCACTTCAGTATTTCTTGTGGCATTTGTTCACATCTGAGCAAAGGGGAAGTGAGGCAGACTGTGTCAGGATGGGTGAAGATAATTGGGTGGGACATATGTAGTAGGGTGGTTAATGATCACTCTGCAGGGGAACTAGGGGAAAGATAAAGGTCTGTCCTTCTTTCACTTTATCCCAAACCTGAAAAATCAAAATTTACTGGAAATACAGGAGGCAGTGGATTCAGTCTGTAGTCGTTAACACAGAAGTCAGATGCATACTTCCTGTCTTTATGTTGCTTTTACTTTTCTTTTCAATAACTAATGTGATTGAATCTTTCCTGTCTTTGCTGCTGCTTCCCAAATTGGCCTTTTTGGACTAGTATAGATTCTCTGACACAGGGATTATTCATTGCTATATAGATTTTCTGTCTCTTGCTCCTTAGGGTATAGTGTATTTCATTTCCCATTTTTTCTCCCTTTGTTTGCTTGCTAGTTTCATTTCCTGTTCTTTTTCATGAAATCCAAACCAAATTCTGTTCATACCTTACATTTTTTCTCCACAACATTTTTTTTTCATAGCAGCTTTTCCTTGGAATGATTTTGCCTGCATGTTTTCCCGCCATCGCCTGCCTGGGAAAATTCATCAGTTGCAAAGTACACAATTGTGTTCATCTTTTGCATGTCATGAAAATTCTCAGCCTATTTTAGAGTTTTACTTGAATGTACCTCATTTGCCAAAGTTAGTAAGAAATAAATCTGTGCTTATTACTACTTATTTTTGTTTCCATTTTTTAGGTGTAACACTTTGTCCTATGATGAGGGATATTCATAAGTGAAGACTACTGATGGGCTCACACAAGGTGGCTTAGCGACAACCATAAAGAGAACCATTGCTTGAATCACGTGTGAATGAACTCAGATGGAAAGGTCAGTGGTTTTTTTGTCAGTTTTGCTTTTTCTTTTTGCTAATGTCCCTTTGCCCCCTTCTTTGCTAAATTCTTTTCATTATTTCCTCAAGGCACAATGGTTTGGGACAGCTAGAATTTCCATAATTGCTCTTCTCTGGTTTCTTTGTTCTTGTAGTTTTCCATGTAATTGCTTTATAACAATGATTTCCAAACATGGAAGTCCTGATTTACTTGATTATCTCGTAAAAAAAAAAAATGCATAGTTCATGAAGAACTGACTCGTTAGCAGTGGATGTGGTCTTAGGTCAATTCTGCCCTCAAAATTCTATTTTCAAAGCTATGTGGTAGGTGTTTGGCCTGGTTCATTGCACAAAATAATAATTGCCTATTGCTAAGTACATATATAATTGTAATGTTAGCAAGTGTGCTATAAGCTTTAATGCAGTAACCTAGGGACTTGAATTTGAGAACCAGCGCTTTAAACTAATTTTCTTTTGGCTTTAATTTTTCTCATAGGAAGGTATCTTAACTGTTATGTAAAATTAAGGATGCTAAGCTAATGTTGAATTCATTAGCACATTTGATTTAGAAAAAAAGAGGAAAAATGCTCCAGTATGACATAATGTCACATTTTCTTTTGGCCATTTTGTCATGAAAATACTGTGATAACGTGAAAGGCCAACATCTGAGGGGGCTCTGGATAACAAAGTAGAACGTTGGCTTGTGATGTCACTGTGAAAGTTCATCTTGGCATCATTGAACTCCATCAATGACATTCTTGTTGTGTGATATTTTTTAGAATTATATTCTATTTAAATTGCAGAATTAGAGGTAGAGGCAAATAAACAAGGAGAAACATAGAGAGGAGAGATCTTTCATCTAGTGTTCACTCCCCAAATGAACAGTCAGCGATGCTGGGCCAGGCAGAAGCCAAGAAACAGGAGTTGCTTCTAGGTCTCTCAAGGAAGTGTAGAAACACAAGCACTTGGACCACCCTCTGCTGCTCTTTTAGGCCATCCGCAGGAAGCTGGATTGGAATGGAAGCAGCTGGGACTTAAACTGGTGTCCATATGAAATGCTGGTACAGCAAGCGACAGCTTAATCCACAAGCTACAACACTGGGCCCCTGGTTGTATGTTCTCTCTCTCTCCTTATCTCTATCTCTTTAAGATTTATTTATTTTTATTGGAAAGACAATGTACAGAGAGAACTAAAGCAGAGACAGATATCTTTCATCTGCTGTTTCAGTCCCCCAAATGACCGCAAGTGCTGGAGCTGAGCCGATCCCAAACCAGGAACCAGGATTTTCTTTTGGGTCTCCCACATGCAGACAGGTCCCAAAGCTTTGGGCAATCTTCTGCTGCTTTCCCAGGCCACAAACAGAGAATTGGATGAGAAGTGGAGCAGCCGTAATATGAACTGGTGCCCATATGGGATTCCGGCATCAGCAAGTTGAGCCAACCTGACCAAAAATCACGCAGCCGTAGCTGTATGATTTTTGAAAGCTGCTCTTCACTTCAGATTCTGCAATGATGATGGCTACTGATGCAGAAAAGTGACTTGGACTAAAGGGCCTTCTACATTTGGAGGTGAAAAAATCAATATCAGATAAACAATGATGATATGATTGCTCCACAAAAAGATTGATATTCAATGCTTTGCTTTTCTAAACTACAAAATGTCGATGCTGTCCAGGAGGTATTCTTAGGATTAGAACTCGATGAGTGAGGCAGTAACAAAAGACATCTTTTATTCCGACTACATAAAGACAGTGTTAAATATAGAACATTTTCTGCATACATAGGAAAATGGGAATCAAACTTAAGAGAATTGTTCCATTTGTCCATGTCATATGTGGGGAGAAGGACCCTAAGAAGACAGAAAGGAAGCGTCCTATTGAATTTCTGGTCAATTTTATGCTTTGGTGGAGATGGGTACCTTGGGATGGCTCATCTTAAAGGCTCTCTTCATTAGGAAAGCCCCAGAAAATTCTGTGTCACTTAGGTTTCCCAAGCAAATATTTTCCTATTGGAGATAAAAGTTCTGATCAGATAAGTAGATTGTAGGCTATTTCTACGAATTTTAAGATGCAACTTTCATTCAAGTTTATTAGTCTTAAGTAACTTTTTGGAATTGTGATTTGGTCTTCCGTTGAGAAAAAGTTTCTGAGCCAGCGTGAGCAAGGGTTAATTCTTCAATCTGTGGCAACTAGCATAAGGTAGTATACAACTGTCAATGTCTTGATGGCAGCTGCCTACTCTTGAAAATCAGAAAAAATGAAATTCCATGATTTTAAATTGCTAGGCTAGATCTAGAAAACAAACATCATGAAAAATATATATCTGAAGTTTAAAACTAATAATTCACTAATATTTAGAATGTGCAAGAATGAACCAAAAAAAATAAACAATAGGCAAAAATGGACAGAGCATGAATAAGTAATGCATGGAAAGAGGAAATGTAAAAATCCCAATATCATGTTACAGTATGATTTCTCATTTCTTACCCTAGTAAGAGAAAATCTATCTGCACCATTTTAAAAAATAATATTATGGTGCTTCAAAAATTAATGGACAATTGGAATTAAAAGATAAGTTTATTTTGATAAAATGTTTTAAACTCACAAATAAAGGGAATTTTCAAAAACCTCATGTATGATGCTTAAAAACTTTATTGTACCAACGAATCTTTAAATTTCATTTCCCATGAACCTTTTGAGGTACTTCATAAATGAAAATAGATGAAATTTTATTTTAAAAATTTTATTTATTTTTTGTATATCTATTTATTATTATTATTATTATCATTTTATGATACAGTTCCATAGGTTCCTAGCATTTCCCTTATCCCAATCCCAACTTCCCCCTTTCCCCCACCTCATTCCTCTATATCACTACTAAAGTATAGTTCTTCATACACAGTCATATGTCCTTCATTGCAGGCATGGACAAAGGCACAGCATCTTATTGTCATGATATAGTAAACAGTTTCATTGTAAGTCCATCTTTGTCTGGAAGTAGAGATGCATACTACACTGTATCCTCACATCTGGATATGTTAGTCTCCATTTCACAGCTACTGTACATCGCCTTAAATGAAAAGTCATAATACAAAATCAACAATAGAAAGAAAAATAGAAATTTACAATGCCATGAAATTAAATAACATGTTACTAGATATGACAGTCACCATTACACAATTACTATACATCCCCTTAAAAAAATGAAAAGCCACAAAACAAAATCAACATCAGGAAGAAAAAGGAAATTAACAACACCATAAAGTTAAATAATATGCTACTAAATGATTAGCGTGTAGCTGAAGAAATGAAAATCAAGAAGCTTCTTGCAGAAAATGATGCTCCTGTATGGTCTATGAGTCATTGAATGATTTAATCAGAAGAAAGTGTTTTGAAGAGATGAAACTCATTAGAGATAGTGTGAATTGAGGTGGCCACTCAACATTGTGGCAATGGTTATTCAAATTAACTGCATGCACTACTGCTTCTGGGTGGACAGCCAGAAATGTTCTGCCATAGAACCACAAGTCAGAACATGCGAGTGGAAGTGCTATCGAACTGTTATTGTTGATGGAAATTCCAATTGACAGGATTATTTTAGGAGATGATAGATAGGCATTAGGGACTGAACATGTGTCCACTCCAAATCTATTTGTGGAAGTCCTAATCCTCAAAGTATTAGTAGTAACATGTAGGGGCTTTAGAGAGGCAATTATGTCATGGAAATGGAGCCCTTGTGAATGGGATTGGTGTCCTTGTCCAAGGGACCCTTGAAAACACTTTCATTCTCTTGCTTATGGGGTAACACAAATATAGTCCATTTTATGTCACCTGGAGAAGGCCCTTTAACTGACTGTGATGCCATGGTCACCACCCTGATCTCAAGCTTCCAGCTTCTGTAACTATGAGCAATATATATTTAAACCAATTTATTATAATAATCCAGATTAACTAAACCTGTGGGCAAAATGTGGTAATTGTATATTATGAGTTATTATGTAACAATTAAGAGTGCATGTAACAAATTATAAGCAGATCATAAAAACATGCCTGTGAAGAAAAGGGGAATATAATGAATGTATCACAGAATATCAATGTTTTTATTAAAAATATCTGCCACCAATTAGAGCATAATTTATCAAAATGTGTGCAGAGGGTCTGGTGTGGTAGCTTAGTGACAAAAGTCCTCACCTTGCATGTGCCAGGATCCCATATGGGTGCTGGTCTGTATCCTAGCTGCTCCCCTTTCCATCCAGCTCCCTGCCTGTGGCCTGGGAAAGCAGTAGAGGATGGCCCAAAGCCTTGGGACCATGCACTTTCTTGTGAGACCCAGAAGAATCTCCTGGCTCCTGGATCCTGGATGAGAATAAGCTCAGCTCTGGCTGGTTTGTCCATTTAGGGAGTGAATTTGTGAATGGAAGAACTTTGTCTCTCCTTCTCTCTGTGAATCTGACTTTCCAATAAAATAATTAAATTTTATTTAAAAATGTGTGCAGAAAAGAATATATTAAACCCCAGTATTCTCCATTTGTTAAAATAGTGGAAGTAGGGGATATGAAGAAAATAATTTTCTTTTTTTTTTACTTATTTGTTTTCATTGGAAAGACAAATTTACAGAGAAAAGGAGAGACAGAGAAAAAGAACTTTTTTTCCTTTGGTTCACTCCCCAAGTGGCTCAACATCCAGAGCTGAAGCCAGAAGCCAGGAGCTTCTTCCAGGTCTCCCACATGGGTGCAGGCTCCTAAGGTCTTGGGCCGTCCTCTACTGCTTTCCCAGATCACAAGCAGGGAGCTGGATGGGAAGAGGAGCAGCCAAGACATGAGCTGGCACCCATATGGGATGCTGGCATTTGCAAGACAAGGATTTAGCCACTGGGTCATTGTGCTGGGCCCAAAAAATAAAATTGAAGAAGCATTTGCAAGAATCAGTACCAATAAATAATTAAACAGTCAGGAAACATGATTTACTCAACCCTGTTTGCTGAAAAATCAAGAAAAATA